ATTGATCTATTGATCTATTGATCTGTTCTGTATCAGTATTAATACTGTGGCTGTAGATCCGATCAGCTCTTCCTTTTAAATCAATCAGACATTATTGATACAGCAGTGTAAATTCAGAATTGGCTGTGAAGACGATCAATAATAATATTTCTAGTCTGACGGTTGTTAATCAATAATCCATAATAGAGCCAGTGGAAGGGCTGTAAGGCTCAGCAGCAGCAGTTGATCTAATATCTGATGTAATCAATAATCAATAATGTGCTGTTTCAGTGTGCAGCGGTCTGTCCGTCAGTCCTCTACAGAGTCCGTTCCTCTGTCTGGACCTGGTCTACATCTCAGTCCTGCTGCAGGAGCTCGGGTTCCCCCCCCACAAACAGTTCAAGGTGAGGAACACCAGAACCAGAACCAGGACCAGGACCAGGACCAGGACCAGGACCCGGACCTGGGCCTGGGTCTGGAGCAGTGTGTTTGATGTGGATCTGACGGTCCTCTTTGTGTTGCAGCTGGCGAGGACCATCCACCAGGTGGAGACCAGCTGGGCTCTGGGGGCCACGTTCCATCACATCCAGTCCCTGAAGAGACACTGAAGCCTTTATTCTGAAAACCTTCACTAACTTCCTGCTCGTCCTGGACCCCCGGACCCGGGAAGACCTCATCCAGGACCCAAACCCAGACCCCCAGTTCTGTGAGGAGGCTGCGAGCTGCTGGTGAAGGCTGCCTCCTATTGGCTGCTCAGAGTACTGTAATGTACTGACAGTAATCAGATTACTCTCAGCCTCCTCACACAGCTGTGTGACATCACGTCTGTTCGTCCAATCAGACGCTCCTCCTGAACAGTGACCTCATCAACAGTTTATATTTAATATCTTCTTCTACACTTTGTTATATAACAGCTGGGTTTTCTATTGATTATTGATTATTGATTATTTGTACTGATTTTGATGTTTGTGCCAAAAATAATAATATTTTTCTCAGATGTTTGTTGTTGAAGCGTAGAGTTCGTATTACCCTTTATATTTAATTTGAATGTTTATAAACATTATTTTTCTCGTTTGTTGCTGCGCCGCTAACTATCGTTAGCTGCTGGGTGCTAATCGTTAAACTAATTACTTCTTGTTTTTCATCGCAACTTACAACCTGTAGGTGGCGCCCTGTTATCGTACGGTCGGCCCGTAGGTGGCGCTCTGTTACCTCGCCGTGGTGTGTTCGAGGGTTCCAGTGGAACCAGGAACTATCGGCTCTGACCTCGTTTGTATCGACAGCACCGATTGTTACTGAAGGACTTCCTGTTTTTACTCGCTGCAATAAAACTGAATGTTTGTCTTCAATAAAGATTGTAGCTGCTTCAACGTCTGACATCACTTATTTATTTACAGTATTAATATTTATATACAACATTAGATTATTTATTTACAGTAATATTTATTAACAGCATTAATATTTATTTACAGTACAAACTGGAATTTAAAGCTTCTAAACATCAGTTATTTATTTACATCCAGTTATTTGTAATCACTCATGTATTTATTAATAAATTATTTCTAACTAGTTATTTATAGTTTATTTAATTACATCCACTTTTTAAAATATTAACTATTAAAGTTAATCATTTTCAGTATTTATATTTGTGTTGTTTCTGGATGCGACTGGTTGCCGTGGAAACTGTTGTCAGTGTTTGACAGCAGATAAATTCAAAATAAACAACATTTAATTCACAAACAAACATTTTATTCAGGTAAACACACACACCTGTGTGACATCACTGAGGGACAGGAAGAGGAGGGTCTGATGAAGAGGAGGGTCTGATGAAGAGGAAGAGGAGGGTCTGA